TAACCATCTTTTTGGGTCTTCAAATAAAACAAACTCTTGAAGGGATATTTATTTCTCAAACCATGAAAAGATCTACAGAGATGACAATGGTAAAGAGGTTTATACGACACGTTACAGAGGTAGTATTTGGAGTCTCATATACCTCACTACAAGCCGACCTGATCTATGTTATAGTGTTGGAGTTTTTGCTCGGTTTCATTTCTCAAACCTGGGAGCAACTTGACGAACTCTTTCACTATGTGTGATGGTCTTGTTCATCAATTGATCCAGCTGTTGACTACATCGTTGTGCTGGAAGAATGGCTGCGAGCACGTCCTTGAAGTAGAACTTGAAGAGGGTGTAACAATCCAAGTACAAATACTCAAACAGAGTTTGAAGTCAGAATGTCATTTGAAAGTTGATTGATCAAAACATTAAGAGACGTTATATTTTGATTTATTTGTGTAATCTTTTACGATGATTTAGTGGAGGACTTATACATGGACTTGGGCCTGACAGACGTAAGAGAATTTGGTCCGAACTGCGTAAACAAACTACTGTGTCGTTTACTTCTTTTTAATTATCTTCCTAAATTCTTGAGACATATATATTAGATGGTATAACACCTTATTTGTTTAGTGTGCTTATTATTAGTGCTATAGCATCTCTGTTCTGTATTTGCTTGTTCGATCTACAAATTTTGTCTTGTGTTAGATTTAATTGGCCAACCTTCATACCCATATATAATTTCATGCTATTCTCGCTTGATTCGTTGTTTAATCTATATATTATTTTTAACTAGGTATTCTTGCTACATTCTTGAAGTTTGAATGTTCAATGATATTGTTAGCATATTCTTAAAATAGGACATTTTTAGCTAGTTATGTACCCCTACATCCCTTTGCATTTTTGACAGAAAATTTCATAATATTTATGACATATGAAATACTAATGTGTAATTTCCATTTTACTCTTGAGAGTACTATTGATAAAATACTCTCTCTGTCTGTCATAGATTTTCCCATACGCGTTACGAAGTTTAACCGACTTTTTTTCGATTCGATTTATTTGGATGTAGGTGTAAAGTTTAAAAATAAAATTTATATAGTAAAAAAGTACTTGAAAAGTTCTACAAAACAATAGATGACAAGACTATATTACTTTATAAAATTAGTAAAAGTCTATAAACATAGGGGGTGGAGTAAAATGATAGAAACAATAAAATAAGAGTTATATGGATAAAAAAGGTAAGAGTTATATGGATAAAATAAGAGATGACAAGACTATATTACTTTATTTTTTCTAAGGATGGAATTGTAATGTTTTGAATAATATGAATAAAAAGGTAAGAGTTAAGAATCTAATGGACAAAGGGGTAGAGTAAAAACATGTTTGAAGATATGCCCTAAATTTAAAATTTAGTGAGAGTTTTGACATGATTTCTCATATAGTTAATGACTTTTTAGGCAAACTCTTTTGTGGTCCTTAGGTTCAAGTTCATTTTATAGAAGTTAGTACATCACCAAATTGTTATCTGTAGAGGGCCTTGTTATATGAGTCTATGAAAAATATTTGAGAAAGTCCACATTTCAAAGGTGGACCTTAAGACCACAATACAACAACTCGACTTCCTAACATAGTCTTTTGCAAGGCCTAGAATGCCATTTAGGTGTGTGTGAAAAATGTTAGCGTATCTCACACAAAACATGTCAATAATATAGAAAATTTAAATAATTTCACGTGGTGGCAATGTGGTAATTGTCATTTCATATTAGTATTTTTGTACTTTCATATTTTTTCTATATTCTTTAGGAATTTTTATTAGAGGGTATTTAATATTTAAAGGAGGCAGGCTAGTAAAACTTACTATTTCTCCCTTTGTGAATATAAGGGATTTCACCCGGTCGCATATGTTCTCAAGGACCAAATCATCCATGTGTTGAAATAGAGGCACCTGAAACATAATTTCTAAAATGATACACAAAATAATGAAAATTTATGAAATTATAATCTAAATGAAGTACTTTGGGGTATTAATTTTCACCTTTGTTTTAAAAGAAGTAATGTAATAAAATACTCTGTACTCGAGAAAATAGTAGTAATGTGTGTAAAAAAGACATTGATCGGTATATTAAGAAGGATTAATATATGCTCCAGTCAAGGTCGTATTATATATAGTCTAGCCGTACCGATATGATTTGGGGGATATCTAATTCATTTGTTTGCTATATACCATCATCTCCGATGGAGCCAAAAATTCACTATTTTTTGTTTTTGGGTTTAATGGAATAAAACAAAACGGATTTCTAAACTGCTTGTGCTTCTTTAATTAATGAAGTAGCAGTCGGTCAATCAATGCAACTCTCAACGCTGAGTTGGGGGGATCTCTTTGGAAATAGCCTCTCTACTTTCGTGTAGGGGTAAGGTCTGCATACACACACCTTCCCCAAACTCTACTCTTGTGGGATTCAATATGGTTCTTGTTGTTATTATATTGTTGTTGTTGTTTGCTAACAAAATACCATAAACGAGAATTAAACTTGTTTACAAGGGCCATACAACTATCTTGTTTAATTGAAAGAAGTAAGAAAGAGTTTCTAATTTTCAAAAAAGTTAACTTATACTAATCCAAATTAGTTGCAGTGACCAGTGAGGCTTGAATACATAACCTCGTTGTCATTGTTAGACATTATTAATAATGATCGTAATTATGGTAGTATTCATATATTAGTGAGCTTCTATATTTTATACACTTTTGCAAACTCATAAATTCCTTGAGTAAATCTATTATTCTAATATTCAACATGGTATTGGAGCACGTGGTGTCTTCTCTCCTCAATCCCCTACGGTAACCGATAAATTATTTTTGGCTATGGATCTTCTCGATCCTTATCGATAACCGATGGCACCCAATTCAGAATCTCCATTATCTTACCCGTGCAAAATTGGATAATAGCAATTATCCATCATGGTTTGCAACAGTTCAAGCGACTCTGGTGGCGCACCATCTTCAAGAAAGGGCCAGGAGGGTGTTTTAGATAATTAACTCCCATAGTCAACCTTTTTTTAAAAATGATAAAATGTCAAAATGAAAAGTTGAATACAACAAGGGACTAGTTTAATTTATACGAGTTTTAGATTTAAAATTTTCAAATGCTACATACACATCACACTTACACCATATCTAAGTAATTAAAGCACACTGACATATCTTGTACTCCCTCCGTTTGGAAAAACACTTCCCATTTGGATTTGGGGCAAAAATAAGGAAGTGTTAAATTATAGTTGATTTCCAATTTTGCCCCTGATGTGATGGATAGATTATTAGAGAAAAAGTATGATGTGATAGGTAGAGTATGAAAAAGTAAGGGTAAAAGTGGTTTTTTAATAGAAAAGGGAAGTGTTTTGTTGGAAGTGGAAAAAATGAAAGAGAAAGTGTTTTTGAGAACGGAGAGAGTATGTTTTACCCATTAGGTGTATGCTCTGTTTGTTTCATTTATAAAAACAAAGTTAGATGTTTGTAGGAATTGGAAGGAGTTAGAAAGAACATGAAGAAGTTGGAAAAAATAGAAGTAGTTGGAAAAAACTAGGAGTTGCAAGAAATTGGATAGAGTTGGAAAAACAGAAAGAAGTTGGATGAAACTAGAAGGAGTTGGAAAAAACTGGAAGGAGTTCGAAGAAACTTAAAGGAGTTAGAAAAAATGTTGAAAAAATAAAAAAGGTTGAAAGAATTATTTTAATTTATTAATTTCATATTTTTTGTTAAATATTTTATACTCAACTTTTTTAAATTTATATCTTCTTTTATTTTCTTCTATACAATTTTATTTTATCTCAAATCATATTAGTAATTTTTTGTGACTCAAACTCTTGTTTTCTTTACTTTTTAAAATTAATATAAATCATATAATTATCCATTTATTAAAGTGTATGTCACCAATCCATGTTTATTAAATATCTCCCAAAATAAAGGTGTAATATAACCATATTTAGGTAAAAAGTAAATCAAACCATATCATAAAAATAAAAATAATAATGAATAAAAACTTTATTTTATTCATTCAAATTTTGCTTATATGTAGCATGTAGAATAATGTTGATAGGAACATAATCAATGTCTTCAGATTTAACATAATCATATTTTAAAAGTTATAAAGGAATTATAAATCAATTAATTTAACATTTTAATAATTACTGTTGACTCTATAATGGTAACTAAAATTTATCTCGAGGATAATTCTTTTTAATAATTTGTGACAATAAATCAATTTTTTTTGAAATAATAATAACAATATAATAACTATAATAATAATAGTAACATTTCAAAATACAGCTTTATAAATTTTTTAAAGTCATTGTTGGAAAAACTGATAAGAGTTGGAAAAACTGGAAAGAGTTTGAAAATACAGGAAGGAGTTGGAAGAAAAGTAGGAGTTCAAAAAAATAGGAAGTTAAGAATAGTGCCATAAACCGATAAAACTTACTTATAATTTTTAAATATTGGGTATATAAAATGAAAATGTCTTAATGTGCGATGTGAATTTAGCATTTTCTAAAAACTTGGATTACAAAAATCAATGGTTAAAATTTGAGCTAAAATGATGTATGTATATACGCGTGTACCTGTCTAACCAAATCCAAACACAGATGATATTTGATGTCCCTCCTTAGACCTTCAGGAAGGTTTTGGATCATTTCACATTCATCTACTCCACGCATAGCCGCCCAGCGCTGTCGCTCATAATTTCTCACTCTGTGCCTGAATTCTTGTGGTAAGCGTCTTCTCCTCATCCACCATTCCACATTCCTCATCTTTAATTGCATTGCTTGTTTTTTTGAAGTTGTTGCATGCAAAAATACCTGTCCCTCCGCAAAAATTGATATTCAATAACAAGATTTACTCATAAAAGTATGAAAGTGCTTTACTCATATGAAATATAATATTTTTTTTATTGTCTTTAAATGATAACTAACTAATTAACTATTAATGTAAATGTGGCTGTAAAATAATATAATATAATCGTGATATATTTCTCAACTAATCTAAAAGAATACAAGGTATTGAATATATAGGTGGAGTTGGAGTATTCTCAAATTCTTTACATTAATTGGTAAATAAATAAGGTAATATTGTATAATAATAAATTTAGCTATAATAGGTAACAACCATAATTATAATAGATAATATTAAATATATTAAATAGTTAATATATTTAACATGCTCCCAATGTCCTAGACAATGAAGATTGAACACCAACATTAAATTAAATCATGACCAGAATCATAATAAGAACCTAGAGGCATATCTTCCAGTAGAGCAGACTGAATGCATCGAGACTAGCTAAAATGTTAGACTTAATTTGCCAAGCCTCGTGTTTTGATGTTAACAAACAATATAATAGCTAACGTTTGTTTAAGTGTCTTAGGTACAACAACATTCCATTAAGATTCGATTCTCAGGAATGAAGTCGAAACACTAAACTAGCGTAGAATATAGGTATAAACCATTGTAAGGATATGATTTTATATACCTATATTACAAGCTAAAATTTACTCACAAAATACTATAATAACCATCATATAAAGACACAACTAAAAGTCTAAAAATAATAATCCTAGATGATAATGAAAATCCTTACAACCATAACAAAAATGTTGTAACCATGGATAAAAGTAATTTTAGAAAATTTAGTACTAAAACAAATTTTGATGAGTTTACATTCAAATCCTCGAATGATATTTATTCTTCTTTGGCATTTTTGGTATATAGTATTACAAAACATGCAAGAGATATATTTTCTTTATTCCGGTAAAAAAAAATGCATTGAAAAATATTTTTTGAATCGACAAAAAATTTATTCAACCATGTGCCACCCCGTGCGTGGCACAGGTTAAAATAAGACATATGAGGCACAAGTGATAGGTTATTAATTATTAGTACCTATTGCAAATTCACATTCACATAATGACATAAACACAAATGACTGATTAGAAACATGTGTGGTAAAAACAAGGACCATGCTACATTTACACCAAAATTGTACCCCAAACTTACACCAAAGGTATACACCAACATTTTGATGGTTCACACTGACAGAAAGTGTTGGTGCATTAACAAAAACTTACATTGACACAAAGTTTTGATGCGTAAACAAAAATTAGCATTACACTAACATAAAATGTTAGTGCTCACTTGCGGTGTACAAATGGTGTACAAAAACCTTGGGGTACAAGTAGCTTTATCCTAAAAACAATTCCAATTGAAAAGGAATAAAGTTTGAGTTACCTTGATATTTCCAATCAACATCGTGACAAGAAGTAGCCCACTAGTAAGCACAATAATTATGAAAACTAACTCAAGCCAATCTGTTGTGCTCTCCAGATTTCCAAAAGTACTGTTCCACATGTATAAAACTATACACCATTAGACATTATATATTATATAGAAAACTTATTTACCCTAATAGAATCTGAATTTTGTATTGTTGATACCTATTTGTCTATATTGATAACTTCGATATTAAATGATATAATGAAAATTTCAAAGAAAACGGACTACACTTCGGGCATTGGATTATGTAATTAACTCAAGAAGTGAGTCTTATATATTCTCAAGTGTTGGAACACAAGTAAGATTCAACCCAATAATAAAAGCTAAATAATAAAAAACACTACCTTAATCAATACAAATATTATTATTTTCTAACATCCCACCTTAAACTGAATATCGTGAAACGAGAGGAAGCTTGAAGACAAGGTCTTGTAACCGTGGAGATGGTAGTGCATTTGTGAGTAGATCGGCAAGCTGATCACTAGAGGACACATAAGAAATAGTCATAGTTTTAGCAATGACTTATTCTTGAACAAAACTGTTGTAATGCCTTGAATCTGTCCCGTTTACAGCAGAGAGTACGGGGGTCTCGCTGTATACAATGTTGATGTATTGGGCTATTAATTATCTGTCAATTTTGTTTGTTGGGCCCAAGACTGTTAGGGTGTAGCCTAGCACTGTATATATAGGTGCTATCACAAACCCTAAGCTGTATTCTGTTCTAGCCTCTCCATAATAAAACTGCTCCCCCTCTTCCCCATGGATGTAGCCAATTTATTAGTGAATCACGTAAATTTGTTATCGTGTTTTCGTGTTCATATTGTTATTCTTGAAATCCGTGTAACAAAAACAATAGTTTCTGCCTACATGCTTCATGCACTTGTGGAAGACAAGATTCTTGATAAGCCAAACGACAGACTGATTGTTATAGAAAAGATGAGGAGGAGGCATATGAACTTTCAAGCCTACTAAAAAATAGTAGAGCCACTCGTACAGAAGAGAGAACTTGGTACTTTGCCTCTATTGATGATGTAGCAACTCGACTCTATTTTTTGTATTCCACGAGATAAGATCGGGACCAAGAAAAACTAGGTCACAAGTCATAGAGCGACTATTTGTCACGCCATTTGCCTAATCTAAGTCAAAATACACTTATAGCATGGGTGACCTTGGTCGAAACACCAATCCTTGGTCAATATTTACCTGAATGTATTGTAATATTTGCTACAAAGAGCAGAAATCATGTTCAATGTGTGCATGCATACGCAGACAAACATGGTTTACAACAAACTTAATATTTGTCTTAGTTTTGGTAAGATACTGAAGACAACCAACAAGACTGAGAAATAAACATGACAAAAATCTACTAAAACGATGGAAAGGAACGATAAATTAGGTCCTGTCATTACGAATCACGCAAAGAGCGATAAAATAAACATTTCATCAATTATTTTCATGTATGCTAAAGCACTTATGTCTCCATGGAGAAGGCATTGCTAAATGAGGGGATTGAGCCTACGGCGGATGAGATATACATCACTACAATTGGTGGGTAAGATGCAACGAATCGTTTCCATGCCACAAGAGACCTCGCCCATAGCTTGCCACTAATGAACAATAACGAGGTTCGGTGCGCTAGTACCAACTCCATGTGAGACCCCCGTGATGAGGAATTGCAGAAGATGAAAGAGTTGGATGAGATGAGACAAACAAACATAACAAAGATTTCCACCATTAAAGAGCAATTGTTGCGCCTCACAAGAGGACATCTTCAAGACAACAATGGCACCAGTGTTGTAAGAGGAGCAGGTACAATGGGAATGTGTTAAGGAGCAGCGGGTATCACACGAATATGTCTTGAAACATTTCAATGACTTTGAGTTGATTCGATGTTTTTATTGACTTTGCAGTTTAAATTACATTGAATGTTTTTTTAAATTGATTAGTCATTTAATTTGGACTGCGTATGTTTAAGTTTTAAGTGTACTGAATGCGTATATAAATGTTTTGATCTTATCCATTTAGTGTGTTTAGAGTTTTGTTGTATCTCTTGAGAATTTGGTTTGATTTGGTGTCTAATTGTGAAAAACCAAACCTGCCTTGGTGTGTTGTGCATTGAACATAATGGAAATGGCAAGAAATACTCATCCTGTTGCCAAGTGGTCAGAAATTGAAAATAGTTGGTAAACTCATCGTTAACTATAATGACAAAAATAATTTTTTCGGTAAAAGCGTCATAAAAACACCGTCGCTAAAACTGCCATCAGCTGGCGGCAGAACAAAACAATCGTCAATCTTGATAGTAACCAAAAAACATGATGGAAACAAAAATCTCACCAATTCTAACATTGATGCCAATTTCCAAGTTTGTAGATTTTTGTAGTGAAAGTGGGATTCATAAAAGCCATATGGGGACCATCGTCACTTGCCTGAACAAGCATCAGGGTTGGGTACGGCTTGTAGTCGTTAACAGCAGCCTTATGCAGTAGCTCTCGTGCATATTTTTCCAAAGAGGAAGCCAAATAGACATTGATTTGTTTGACCTCAAGCCCTGGGAAATAATGAAGGAGTCCAATATCTTTTTTTTGAAACTCTTCCTCCATGGTGACAAAGAAGCCGATTGCGAGAGTTGAGGTGCTTCTTATGACAATAATATCATCAACATAAACACGTAATATAAGAGTGCCTTGGGAAGGGGCATTATAAGAGTATTTTTATTTGTCTTTGTTAAACTAATAAACAAATAAAATGTGGGATTTAAGGGAAGGGGAATGAAGAAGGTTGTTTAAGTTTAGAATACATGTGGATGTGGCTAAATTACCTGAGCTGGTGTGTGAGATTCAGAATGTCTTACTTCCCACAGTGGTGATAAAATTTGTGCCTTTATATAATGAGGGATTCTACTGCCTAGATAAGTAAAGATAGTCTCTTGGTGTCTAGATACCAATTCTGTATTGCTAACTTGGTTGAATAAATTGTTGTGTATAATAACCATTTGGAAGACAACAGTATGACATGTCAGTATGAGCTTGTTCAAATGGAGACACATTAACAATAACAGATGATCATATTTGAGCGTCAATAATCATCCATGTTTCATAGGCTAGTTTACAATTCATAACCAGTGGAGCATCCTTGGATAGTGCCACTACCTCGTCGTTGAGAACCGGTGGGGGTAGTGCTACATCGGTGTAGTCAATGTCATCAAGGAGGCGGTGATTAACCGTATTTACTTGAACAGTTTCCAATTAGGATGCGTAATGAATGTCATCAAATTTTGCATGGGTAAGAGATTGAGGATTCCAAACAAAGAGTTTGATATTGGTAAGGAGACGATCCATTGGATCGTTGGTAGAGGGGGCAATGCAAATAAATGATGATTTTTAGCGATGGTGATAACGGAAGAGATAGCCCTAAGGTCGAGTGAAAAAGAAAGAAATATAGGCTCGAATACCATATTGGAATAATAGATTTACTCAAAGAATAATGAAAGATACATGAGAGTTTACATAAGAAGCAATCCTAACAAAATTAGGATTCAACCCAATTATAGAAGCGAACTAATAAACCAACACTATTATATTAAGCACTCCCTCTCTCCTAGAGTATTTATCTAATTTTGACTTTTTGCAGACAATTGTGATCAACCTTTGTCCAATAATTATATAAACCATACATGGTATATAAATAAGATAAAATAATATTTTGAAAATAATTTCCAAGTTAAATCTAATAAATTTATTCTTGTATCAATGTCAATTATAAATTTTATTTAATTAATGGTAAAAATATATTAATTTTCAGAGCAAAAAGTCAAAACTAAACAATAACTCTAAGACGAGATAGTACAAATATTATTCATTAAACTCTATTTGGTTCTTTAAAATTGGGGGGTTTTCACATTTAGTCCTGTATTATCAAATAGGATGATCATGGTCCTTTGTTTATGGGTACCTTTCTGCAGATAGTTCTTTGTTTGACCTTTCATCATGTAAGTCCTAAACTAAGTACTAGAAGTGTAATTTCACATCAATCCAAGGCCAAGCCATGTATTTTGGTTTTAGGTTGACAAACATCACAACAAGAATGATTATGGACTTGGATTCTGACGAGCGACGTCAGTTATGGGTTATGGTTGTGGTGGTCGGTGACTCTAGTGGAAGAACGATATATCAAATACAAATGCTAGCATTGGCTAAAGCAAGAAGGATGTAAGGTTGATGTGAAATACACATTTAGTCCTCAATTTAACACCAACATGACAAAATGTCAAACAAAGGACTTTGTGAAAAGGTACCCATAAATAAAGGACCATGAATATGATATTTGATAATTGAGAACTAAATATGAAAAAACATTCGTTTTAAAGGACCATTATAGAATTTACTCTATATTATTATCTAAAAATTGCTTGAAGTTTGAAGAAACCAAAATAAGTAACGCGAGATGTGAAGGTTCATAGTCTTTAAACTTTGGAAAATTATAATTTGAATGCATTGCTTACACTTTTGTTCTAACATGTTTCTAAAAGCTAGAAAATGTATCGTGTGACCTTGTAATGCCCATATATCATACTTCAACTACACAAAGTTTGTATAAAATAAAATTATATGCAAATAATGGAATTACTATAAGAAAGAATATGAATTAATTGATGAAGTTCACAAATACCTCAGAGTCATGAGTCCCCAAAAGATAGGAAGAAGTATCTTTTCCAAACGACTATCATTTGTAACAAGTTGGAGAGTCCATTTATATGCTCCATAAAAAGAATCATCCTCACCAAGGCAAGTTGATCTTGTTTGGTCATTTCCCCCCCAAAACAAACGAGCTTTGTCCTTCACCAAACTTGCAGTTCCAAAATATATTGGCTCCTCACAAACCAACAATCTAGTACCACAACCATTTGTCATTTTGCATTCTTCTTTAAGGCATCTAGCAGTCCTTTGGATTCCAAGCAAGTACCAACAAGCCCCTACCGCCTGCAAACCAGTTCCAGAATATTAAGTTAAATTAGGTTATCATTCCATTGAAACAACGCTTGCAAATTAAAAGTTCAACATACAAAATCTTCTACAACCCCATACCTAATCCCATCATTTCAGATGTGGTTATGAATTACTAATATAATTCAAATTTGTAAGTTGATTTTCCTTTAATAAAAGAACAATATGAACCAACAAAAGTTTTTTTAAGAAACTCTTATCTCAACTTTTACTAATCATATAAAAGGCAAGAGAATAAGTTATGAAAAACAATGTGATAGACCCCCATTGTACTAAACAAGTCATAGAAGCAAAAGCTTGAGCTATAACATAAGCTACCTAATTTAGAATTTTACCTAATCGTGAAAAGAACTCTGTGTGAAAATCTTACATAATTTTTTGTATTCAGAAATCCAAGAACAAAAATATGCATTTTTAATAGACTCTACCTCTAGAGCTTGATGAACCTCACATTTGAGTTAATATTTTCATTCTCATCATTTAGAAAACTAAGAACTTCATAGCTACCAATGCCTCTATGATTTCTCGGTGAGCCACTATATATCGAGAGGAAACTATTTTGTTAAGGAACATTGTTGATTGTCTAGTAGAAGGAAACCATTCAAGAAGGCTCGAGTGAATATTATACGTGATAGATTTAGGAAGATTGTGAACAACCATGAAGTAAAGGAATACTGAGAGAATGTGCTTTATATATAAGTATCATCCTCCCTATTTGATTTAAGAATTTGTTCTACCAATATCGAATGAAGTTGTCAAAGTGATCTAACAGCTTGTAATAGTGGTCTTTTTTCAATTTTCTTTTACATGTAGTAGCCCCTAGATATATGAAAGGAAGTTTGCTAGGGCTCATATCCAGTGCTTTTTCCATTCACTTAATAGAAGTGGCCTTAGCAATGCTATTAGTAAAAAACTTACTTTTAGCTAAATTTACTTCTTGTCCAAAAGATAACTAGAAAAATCTTGAAAGATTGCCTTAAACCCAAGAACATTCCTCATTTCTTTATTTAAAAATATCATTAGGTCATCTGCATACACAAAATGAGTAACCAAAGGAGATTTCTCAACTTTGCATTGAGTAGAAAAACCACTATCCATGTGGGCTTTAATGATTCTTCTAAATCCCTATCCCTTATAATGAAGAGTAAAGGGGATAAATGATTTCTTTGTTTGACCCCTCTAGTCATCATTAAAATCATGAAGGAGAGCCATTGACTTAGATAGATTTTTAGGTACTCTCCAAATTCGTCATTAAAAGACTTTGTGTTGTGGTAGAGATACCAAAAGCTTTTAGCAAAACCTTTATATAATTCCAGTCCTTCTCATCAAAAGCTTTTTCCATATCTAATTTAATAAGAACATAACCACCCCCAACACTTTTTGCCTAGAGATTGAATAATTTGTTCTACGATTATAATTTGATCATCAATAGCTTTACCTTTCTGATAAGAAGCTTGCTCATTCGATATTATTTTTTAAACAAGAGTCTTAGGCTTTGTAGCAAGAATTTTGGTATTTTTATTACTCATAAAACTAGATAAAGAAATAGGTTGAACTCCCGAAAGTTTTTAAAATCCTCATTCTTTGAATCTAGAGTAACAAGAGTACTTCCATAAACTCTAGGAACTAGGATACCCATAATGAATTGCAGTGACATTTCATAGACATCTTGACAGATGATATCCCATGTTGTTTAGAAGCAAACTCCATTGAAACCATCAAGTCAACTTACACTATTTTGGTCCAAAGCCCAAACAACTTTCTTGACCTCTTCCATAGAAGGTAATGCTTTAATTAAATCATTTTCTTCTCTACTAATGACTTCAGGGATGAAATCAATAGTCTATAAATAGCTTTTCAAAATGATAAATGTCTTCCTTCTTGATGTCTTCCTCGAAAGTTAGATTTCTGCCATTTTTGTCTTTGATTTTCTTTATCGAAAGCTTATTCCTTTTACCTTGGGCATATTCATGGAGCAATTTAGAATTAGTATCTCCTTTATATAACCACTTCATATTAGACTTGTTTATTATTTCTTCACTAATTGCCAATAAAGAGTAGCATTAGCTTCACTAGCTAATTCTCTAAGGTCATCTAAGGGATTCTTATCATAGCTAGGCTTCTTATGCCTTAGCTGCAACTTCCTTGGCTTCCTTTAGGATGGTAAAAATATTACCAAAAATTGTAGAGTTCCAAGGGTTTAAAACATCTTTTAAGACTTTAAGTTTTGAAGCCAAACCTTTCATACAAGCAACAGTTTAGGAAGACAACCATTAGTTTTTAACTATCTCTAGAAACTTTTAGATTTATTATTTTGAAAGGCATTCAACACAAATTATTTTTTTCAAAATAATTGCTAATCACAAATGTCGTATACAAACAAAGCTTCCATGGTTATCTCTATCTTTAAATCTTGTAACTCCTGCATTATATTATGTGATACCATCTAGGAAATTAAAGTTTAAGATCAAGTGAATGGTACTTGTTTGAAAAATGTGTGAAATGAAATCTATAAACATACTTACGTGGGAGGCCACAAAATATGCAATCATGTTGAGAGCGATCCCCCACCAGATAGTACCAACAATGTAGCCAGAAAAGGTTTGCATCCGACGTAGGTGGCACACAGAGTGATAGATCTTTGGAAGATATTGGATTAGAAACATTATCAACAATGTAGTCATCACTTCTGTTATCAACCCTTTCTTCAATAATGCTGGGACTATTACCCACAACACTACCTGTGCCAAACTTTAATAATTAATGCCTTCACCATTAAATTTAAATTCCTTTTTCTCTCATTCATTTCCATGCAATATGTCCCATAGTAGAAGATATGTGAAACACTCAATTATTAATAAAAGTAATTTTATTTAGAACAATATTATAATAAAAGTAAAACCAAAAACAAAATCCAGGGTTGATGTGTTCTGTTTCATTTTACTACTGTTTCCATCATTTAATAAAAACTCATATTTTGTGTTTAATTAAAACTCATTTACTATGAAAACAAGTTTTTAAAAAGTTATATTACTCTTCTAAGGGCCCATTATTATAATCATAAAAGTATTTTGATATAACTTTATCAAAACATACTTCTTATATCTTTTTTTGTAATATATAATCATGAATAGTATTCTCTTTGTATTCCCTATACATAGGGATGAAACCTCCATTGTTCAATAAGACCAATTATTATCAAATTGTAACAGGATATCAAGGCTAAGGTTCACAAAAACCTAGACTCTTATTTTTTGACAGTGTCATGCCGGTCTCTACTGAGACTGGCCGTGACAAATCATGGCATTGCCGTCCTTTATCCCTCTTCTCTATCCAAAACAAAATGGGTGCATGATTGAATAACTGGAAAGCTTTATTTTGTCTATGTTTGAGAGAGCATGAAAAGCGATATATAAGTAGAGAATGGCCCACAAGGAAAAAAAATGAAACTCCTCCCCCTCGCTCCTATGGCCTTCACACTCTCTAGAAAAAACTAAGCAAACACACTCTCAAGCTTATTCATCATGAAACAAATATCTGCCTCTTTACGTGTAGTGGCTATTCTCATGAAGCTACTTTCACCGGCTCATTTTTTTCAACTGTTTGATTTGTGTTTTCTTACTCCTATTTTAGTTTTCCTTATATGAATGAAAAGGACTCCCTCACTTTTGCTAATAACAATTAGAGAGTACATATTTTTACAAATGAGTCATAGTTTTAAAAGATATATATATTTTCCTTTTAGTAATGAAATTTTTGTTTGTAAGGGATACACTGCAAACACTTGTTTTTTACGCTATGATTAGATATCTCTTCAATCCATACTGTAAGATTTCCCATATCGTAAACATGTGAGGCTTAATGAATCCAAGACTAATTGGTAGAATGGTCTTTAGTTTCATTGAAAGTCTCTATTTATTTATTTTTTTCATGTGGATTGAGAATTTATTCTTGATGATTGGTATACTTCACTTAGTGTTAAAATAATCACATATGTATAGGTGATACACTTAACTTTTTTGGGTTTTTTTCATTATCATTGAGAGCAATGATGATCTAGTTTTTTGTTTGTCGATTGTAGTTTCATGAATGTGTTGGATCACCTGTAGGTGCTATTCATGAATGTGTTGGATCACCTGTAGGTGCTATGGGACTTAAACTTTTTTTAGCATTGTTCCTTATAATTAGAACCGCAGAATTTATCAGATGCCAATTGGTGGCTTTTTCCTATTCTGAATCATTAAGAATCTTGATAAGGTATAGATTAGAAATATGTTATGACTTTATACTAAAAGTTTCATTCTTCATGTTCTTCCACATTCTTATTTTTGAAGTTGTAACTAAAGAAACAACAGACTACTTCATATTTTCATTTAGAGTAATAATTTATTTTGAAATTTAGAGTTAAATGGTTCTTACCAAAAGCTCATTAAGAAACAAAAAATATCTGCAAAACTCTCATGCCCATGAGAAACACGGGTTAGATCACCAGTGTGTTTTAAACTAAAATTGAATATGAGTCTCGATAAAAAATAAATTACACATTGATAAATCATAATTACAGATTATAAGACTAAAAACATATGGATTGTTTGATTATTTTTTCACTTGCCTTAACCATATAAACTAAAATGAATGGGTTATCGCTATGGGTTTATTAGGATCAACCTAAATGTAACAAGAAGTAGGCTCAATATAATAGATCCATCATAAAATTTATTATGTAACTAATTAATGTAAAGTAATATGAAAGTCTGTATGCTAGGAAAGAGGTTCAAAGAAAGCAAGATTGGTCGGGCTAATCCAATCCGTAAGTGAGTTATGGATACCTAATTTAAGTGAAAAGTGAAGGTTATTAGGGTTAGGGCATTGGGGAACCGGTACAAAATTTTTAGTCGTTCTTCCATGTTGTGCTATGGTGGGAACAAAGGTTAACGAGGTCAACACCTCATGCTTCAAGCTATGGTATACAAGAAACGTAAAAGAATAGAATTGATTGATGATTGGAAAGTTAAAAGAAAAAAGCATTGGGTGGTTAACTAAGATTTTTATCAAGATTCTAAAATCTAAGAATATGTTTAATGAAATGACGAGGGGCATTTTGATTCTGTTTTAAAAGAATAAGGGGAATATTTAAAGTTGTGAAAATTACAGGGGTTAAGCTCATAAGTCACACAATGAAGTTGTGGTAAAGAGTGGTAGAACAATGGTTGAGACAAAAGACTTAGGTCTTAGAGAATTAATTTGGTTTTGTTCCAGGAAGGTCAACTACAAAGGCTATATAGTTGGTAAGGAGAATGACAGAGAGATACCGAAGTGAGAAGAAAGACCTACATATGGGTTTTATTGATTTCAGAAAAGCATTTGACAGAATACCAAGAGAAGGAACGCGTTAAAGAAAAATTGAGTAAGGATTGCTTATATTCATGTGATTAAGGACATGTATGATGGTCCTACAATGAGTGTGAGAAGCAAAAGCTGAGTGACACTAAGGGTCACCGCTAAGATAGAGGATATGAAGTGCATGTTTAGCAATAGAGAGTGAAATTTGGGTAAACTACTATACCACAAGTGAAGAGATTTAAGTACCTTGGGTGTATCATTCAAAAAATGGAGAAATAGAGGATGATTCAAACCATAGAATCCAAGTAGGTTGGTCAAAATGTCAGAATGCTTTGAGCTTTATATGTTACAAAAAAAGTACCTTTAAAATTAAAGGAAATGTTTAATATTGTTCTGCGAGCAGACCAAGTTTGTTGTATGGAACAAAGTGTTGAGTAGCAAGGGGTTATAATGAACAAAAAGTTAGTGTTGCCCAAATGAAGATGCTTCGATGGGTGAGTGGTCATACACGTATAGATAGAATAACGAATGAAGAGAGAATCCGATGAGAAGGGTTTGGACATGTGGAGAGAAGACCCATAGAGCATACGATGAGAAGCGCTGATCAAATGGTGAAAAGACATGTGGTTAGAGCAAGAGGTATACCTAAGAAGACTTGCCACGAAGTGGTCAAAGGGGACATTCGAGTGAATTATCTTAGTCCACATATGGTACTTGATAGAGCACAATAGCATCGTTAGATCCATAAAACCGAATCGAGCTAGTGAGATACAAGTTGGTTGTTGTTGCTGTTTTTGTTGATTCTTCCCTCATGTCACATGTCCATGATTAGTGGAACATGGTCGAGGAAGATATGGTGGTTAGTTAATTAGGCTCCTATAGTAACACATATTCGATAATGGAGAGGGCACAATCAATCTATTGCATTGAGCACATTACAGCTTCATTCGTACTCTATGTATTCCATATCTTTTTAAATATTTGACTTTTAACACTTTCTAATGTAATGCATTGATCATTAATATCTCTATTTGAATCTAGTTTAATATATAAAAATGTGGTAATTCAAAATTATATTTTGAAATAAATCTATTGATTTATTCAAAATTTATATCACAATTCAATATTTTGTTTGCGTAATTTGTGATACAAAATTAGTGGAAAGAGTGAGTGCGTACGTACATCAGCTCTGGACGAAGGGTTTTTAAAATATAGGAAACTAACTCTGATGTAAATCATAGTTATTCTTTTTTAAGATGAAGAAGTGAAACATGTTGTTACTTAGCCATGTCAGATAATAAGATTAAAAAATATTGGTTAGTTAAAGAACGTATAATGGTTTAGACTTTTTACCTGAGGCATTGGAAGGATGACAAAGAGATTAAATAGTAAACCCCTCTTGGCCCTGAGCAAGCTTACTGCGGCAGTCATAAGCTTCTGATAATGTAGTGTACTTCCCTGAGAATGCTGTCCAGCACTCATAACATGTGGTCGTGGGTAAACCCTAAATTGTAGCCACATGTTCCACAAGTGCAGCACGTCGGTCATGCATCGGAGAACTGTCACTGTGGTGGAAAACCACCCATCCACAAATAGGCACATGTAGTTATCACTTATGGAGAGGGTGTAAAAGAAGAGAGGGTCAACAAATAGTCCGGCGGCGCACACCAAGAGGAACATTCGATTCCATTCTTGAACCCACACGCCCCGAGGTTCCCATAAGACTTTACTGAAGAAGGACCCTCGGTTAATGCAATTGTATAGCTCTCTATCATCTTCAACATCCTCACCCTCGTCTTCTTCTTCCTCCGTGTCCGAGTAATAGCTGTTGAGTTCACTTGCCATTTTCACTTCTTTTTATAATATATCAGTTGATTTTTGTGCATATATATAAATATATACATATATATATCATTCTTGATCCATAATTGTCCGCGAAATAGATGCATGAAAGAGAAGTTTGTAAGTCTAACTCTTTATAAAAAGAAAATGCAATCTCCAATCTTCCACCCCCAAAAAATTTGCTAAATATAGAAATAGAAATCCTTTAAGAGAGTCCCTGCAATTCAAAAAACTCACATGTAAAAGATATACAAAGACTAGGTTCAACTTCCACATTTAGAGTGTCATGGCTAGGTACTAATGCTCCATTATCACCCCAACTCATTGTATACTGCGTATATAATAACAGAGAATGTTCCTTCATAAACATCAAAACCATTAGGCTTCTCTTGGTATATGGAATGTGAATTAAATTAAAATTGAAATCTTTATAGAATTGAACTGATTGAGTTGAGTTTTATTTCAATTCCAAATCCTTTGTTTGGTATAATTTGTTAGTTCCATGTGTTGTCCTCCTTATGTTATGTTTAGTTGAGTTCTTGTAAACTTCTATTGACATTATTTTTTGACAAAAAATAGATGTTAGATGTATTTGTGTCTCGTCGTTTTGCTAATATAGAGTTGTAGCGTCTATTGCGAAGGAATTACTAATTATACGAAAATCACGCAACCTTTATACTTACTTGCGCGAGGTCTCAAAGCTCGATCTTTACATTCACAAAAGCTTTGAAGAAGATCTTGTAGAAGGTATAATATGCCAATGACGTAGACACAAACATAATTTGTCGTCAAGTCACTCGTAAGAAGATTAAGTCGATTTATTATATTGAATCTATTGAAGCTGAAGGTGTAATCTTTAGAATGATTTAGTGGAAGGGCTCTTACATGAGTGGGCCTTGCAGACGTAGGAGTTTTTGTTCTGAATTGCGTAAACATTTTAGTGCATCGTTTGTTGCTTTCTTATTGTTGTTTTATTTATAAGCGACACAGAAGGTGTTACATCACTACAAGTCACATATCATTGTTACTTGTGTTGTAGCATCTTTGTGCCACACCTTGTTTTATTTGAACTTTGCGATCTACAGATTGGTTTGATTGGTTAATTGGTTTTTCCCCACAAAATTTCATGCTTGAGCAATTGATATAGACTTGTATTTAATTCAAATCCTTTGTTTAATTGGTAACACAAAATTGTATATAAAATTGATATAAGGACTTACATTATGATTCCAAGTTCACATCCACATTCTTTAGTGCTACCAAATCCACATATTTTTGGAATTAATATGAAAATTTGGAATTAGAATTCCGTTCCAAATTTACATATTTTTGCTACCAAAGAGTAGAATTGGAATTAAAGTCATTCCGTGGCCTTAATTTTGTGTACCATATGGAGCCTTACATAATTTCACTATGTGGAAAAGACTAAATTTGGAGTAAAACATAGGGAAAATACCAAAATAGGAGCTCCATATTTTTTATTCCCTAAATATGATTTACAATGTCAATAATATCAATATATAATATTAAAAACCAATGTGAAATGCCAATATTAGTGCCACATTGTCACAATGCAAACGTCTATTTTGAGATTAAAAACATGTAGCTTATTTTTAGTAGTTTCTCTATATTTTACTCCTAGTTTTGGTGATTAATTTTTCATTTTTTTTTACTTGAAGCTGATTTACATTGGCTAGTGCAAGTCTATTAATGGCCCGAAACCGTCAATGGAAGTGTGGGGGTGGGGAATAAGAACCTGTACCAGTGTCGTGCAAGGTGATATCAAGTGGTGGGTTGGTGGTTTTGGTACCGAAACCATATGGTACAAGTACCGTTCTGTTTCCGACCATTTGTTTTCATTTTTTAATCTTATATAGGGGNTTTAAGCCATTGTTGGGGGGTGGGGGTCAAAAAAATTTCTTATACATACCTCTCATATGGCTTCTAAAAGCACACAACGAAAGAATGGCTAAGATGATTTGTGAAGAGAATTTCTTGTATATATTTCTAGAAAAATGTATTTTTATCCGTTATTGTGAAAATCAACCCTAAAGCTAGAGGATATGTTAATAGGACAAAGGGAATGCAAGCTTAAGAGACAATTACACAAAGTTTAGTTGTCCACTCTATTTTCTTGTTTTAAAAATTATATAACTCATAAATGTGAATAAAAAAAATTTTTGAACTCGTAATGGTTGTCTCTCACCTTAATTTGAGGGATTTTTAAATAATACAAGGATTCTCTTAAATATATTTTTATTATATTTAATATTGTATATAATTGGTAGATACCTTTTATGTATAGGTTACCTTTTATGTACTTTCCTATCCTAGTAAAGGAAACTCCCTTGTATATATACACATGTACTCTCTCATTATTATTCATTTGAAAATAAAAATTCTACATAGTATCAGAGCAAAATTTATTCTCTCGACTCTCATCTCCCTTTATCCCTGTCTCGCACGGCTTTTCCTCCACCTCTAAGTCGCCAATCTCAACTCTCTGACCATGGCTGAATCTTCTTCTATCACATCCGATAGCCCCTCACCCAACTCTCCCCACCTTGCTTTTACAACCATCTCCAACAGCAAACTACATACTCTCTTTCAACTTAGTATCTCAGAACCCAACTAGAAAAAGTGGAGCCGATTATTTCGGTTACTAGTTCTTCGATTCAATCTCCTGGGCTATCTCAACAGCACTATCACCCCCTCCTCTGTCGACGATGTCGAATGGTTTCAATTCAAAACTCTTCTCCGAAGGTGGATCTTATCCACCATGACAGACGAAGTCTTGGATCTGATTCATGCAAACAATCCCTCAGCACATGCATGTGGACGGCAATCCATAATATTTTTCATGACAACAAACATGCTCGGGCGATGCAATTGGAGCACACGTTCTATTTGATTATCAAGGGAACCAAGACCATGCCGGAGTTTTTCCACCTCCTCAAAAATCTAGCAGATTATTTTGACAACATAGATGCCCCCGTGACCGAATGTGAGATGGTGCTATACAAGTTCTTCAAGGCTTACATCAGGACATCTGGGCTCATAATCACTTTCTGCAATACCAAAAACTAGAAGAAACTGGAAAAAAACTGGAAGGATCTAGAAGAAACTGGAAGGAACTGGGGAAAATTGGAAGAATTGGAAGAATTGTAAGAAACTGGAAGAAATAGGAAGAAGCTGGAAGGAACTAGAATGGACTAAAAAGAACTGGAAGGAACTGGAAGAAACTAAAAGTTAGGAGTTCAAGCTCTAAAGAACAGACTCTTAAAAGACTATCTCATCAGTTATGCAGAGCTCTCACATATGGGTAAAGTTAGTGTTTTAAATAAGCACGTTGTTACTATGATTCCTGAAATATTCCTTCGGTCTTAAAATGATATCACAATATATTTTTTAGTTAAATTATGAAATAATTTGATTATAAAATAAATATAGATTTAATTATTTAAATAGTATAAAAATTGATATATCAAATTGATACTTCCTATATCCCACAAAAGATTATCACAATTTAACTTTTTTGATCTAATTATGTTAAACGTCAATCATAAATTATGAAAAAAGTGTATTTAGTTACAATGTCAATTTTGTAAAATTAGATCAATTTTGAAATATAATTTTAATACATCAAATTTTTATAACGTTTAGTTATTTAAAACTATACTTAATATTCGTCAATGTGTTGTACAGTTTGAGCAAAAAATGCACAATTTGAGCAAAAAAGTGAAATGGTAAGGGGCTAAGGCTATAGGAATGGTTTCCCGTTTCCTCCCTTCCCCTAATACCAACTCAGCACCACATCAGTTTTTTCTTTTACTTCTCTTCGCTTCTTCTTTAAGGTGTGTGGTCCCGTTCTTTTCCCTTTTCCTTCTATTTTTAATTTTATTTTTTAACACACTATTTTATTTAAATTAATTATTTTAAAAATATAAAATACAATTAAATAATACAAACCTAAAAACTTAAAAGATAAAAAGTACAAAAGGATATTAAAAAGCATTAAACTGGGAAAAAAAGTTCAAACAATCAAAAACAAATTAAAAATTGAATAATTAAAAAAGGAAATGCAGAAAAAAGAGGTAAGAGATCAACCAAAAAAACTACTAGTACTCCGTAAGAAGCAAAGAAGGATAGAGAGAGAGAGGGAGAGAGAGAGCACCAAATAAAAAAAGCCAAGGAAAAAAGATAGAGAAATTTACGTAAATGAGACTTAAACATATTACTTCTCTTTAAAGAGGATCAATCTATTTACTCTAATGTTGATGGAAAATTCTAAAATGTCCTGCCTTTGAAAAAATGACATATTGCACAATTTTAGTTGAATAAGACATTATTAAAAACAATTTAAATAATCATTAAAATAGTCAGTCATTATCTAACATTTATTGCTAATGGTCATATTCATAGAGTCATTCGTATAATCAGTTATTATCCAACACTTGTTGATAATGAGTGCATATATGACATATCATGTGGAAATATGTGCCATAAATGAAATAAGACATATATGTATATATGGTCCTATTTAAAGAAACACACTGTAATTAAAAAAGATATACGGAGTTAAAAAAGAGATTTTTTTTCAAATGGAGTATTTATAAATAAACAAATTTTACTAAATTTAAATTCTAACTAAATATACTATTTTCACAATTTGTGCTCAGGTAGCATAATTTAGCCAAAAGAGTCAAAGTAATGAGTTTTTGGGAGGAAAGAGTAAATTGTAATGGTAAAACTTACTATATATCAACCCACTCACCTACGTAATGCTTTGATTCCGGTATTGCTATGCTTTCCGGTTAGATTGTTGAATGTTCCTAAAATCCGATTATGCTTCTTCGCAGCTGGATCAACAACGTTCCTGGTGAAATCTCCAGGTGTTGTCAACAACAATAGCTATCTCTTTTCGCGATGTGGTTTGATTCTGTTGCTGGAGGAAGGGGAAATTAAAAGAGACAAATGGTATGTTATTAGTTCTGGCTCAAAGGGGCCGGGTTTTTATATTCTCCAGATGCCAGTCCGTGATTAAAAATTGTCTTTGTGGTTAAGGACTAAGGATTGCAGTCTCTTATATTCATGTGTCTATTTTTATTGATTATTTGATAAAATAAAATATTTTTTTGTTATATTTTCTTTTGTTAAATTTTGGACGTAGTATTTTGATACTTCCTCCGTCCTAAAATAGTCTTCCCTGTTCGTTTTACGAGGTTTGATTGTAATTATTATCAATTTAATATATTTGATCAAAAGTGTAAAATTAAAAAATAAAAATTATATATTTTAAAACTATATCAAAAAGTCTACAAAACAAAAGTTGACATGAGAATATTATTTTATCAAATAACTAACGAAAATATGTAAAGAAAGTGATTTAAATTTAACCATGTAAATAGTGTCTAGGAAAATCGTTTTAGGACGGTGGGAGTATATATAAATTTATTTTTTAATTTATTTCTTTAGTAATCTTTATTTAAATGATTTAAAAAACTAAAAAATTTATTTCATTTTAGATGATGTGACATTCTTTTTTGGGAGGAATGAAATATTTACACGACCATTGTTGAATTCAGCTCAATCATGGAATACTCACAAGGATATGTCTTTAGTCACTTCTCAAGTATGATTGTTCACATGCTAATAATTATTCTTTGCAGTACGGTTCGGTATATTATTGTCTTCAATAATACTACTCCGGTTTTAATATATATGTCCCGTTTTAACTTTTTGAGTTACACTGAACAAATTTTAAATTTAAATTATTTTAATTTTATGGCACATTAGTTCAATCAAATAAAATTTTTAAAGTTTTCAACAAGACAACAAGATAAATTTAATAAAATTATTTTTATAGTACTTTTTGTTTAATTAAAGTTCAAAGTTCATCTAATTTGACTCGCAATAGTCAAACTTAGGGGTGACCAAGTACCGAACCGATACCGAAATTTCCTTAAAAAACCGAGAATACCAAACTGAAAAATCCGAAAAAATATCGAGAAGGAACCGAACCGTACCGAACCGAATGGTCGGTACGGTACTTGGGAACGGTACGAGGTGACGTCCCATACCGAAAATCCCGAACCGAACATATATACTAAAATATTATACGGAGTAATTTTTTTCAAAAAAAATTTGGTTCAAGTTCTATTATGTGTAAATTATACTTTTATTTGATTTTAGTTTTTGTTTATGAACATAAAAGTATTCACAAAGATTCGAAATACTCCTTTATTGTCATTCATTTTTTTACTTTGTGAAATATAAACTAAATTTTGATACACATCTCTTTCATTTAAATATTTACTATTTTTTTAAAAAATTTTCATGTTTTTTTATTTAAATTCATTTTTTAATTTTCAAAAATAAAGGGGCATTGTTAAATTTTAACATGTAAAGTAGGTATCTATATTCATCCTGATTTGTACCGAAACCGATACCGAACCATCCCGAACCATACCGAACCGAGATTTCGGGATCGGGATCGGTACGGAGTAAAATCTCATACCGAACCGAAATATTTGGTACGGTATCGGTACGAGCTATATACCGTTCCACACCGTACCATGCTCACCCCTAGTCAAACTGGACAAATACACGTGGAGGAAGGAAGTACAAAGTAAAAATTGCATGAAATTGAGTACTCCGGGAGCCCGAGTACGTATATATTCTTCGGGTCATGCTATTCAAAATACAATGGAGAGTGCTAGAGTACTCCAAGTGGTATATTCTTTTTCTACCCCAAAGCATTCACATATACACACAAACACTCAATATTTGTGCATTGTAAAGGCATTGAGTGTATACATTCGGTTTCTGTGTGTGTATGTGAATTTTTGTGTACAAATGAGATGCTTTTGTGTACAAATGGAGTACACCACTTGGGTTACCATAGGCTTTCCCATAAATCCCCATATACAATACATTGGGTATTATATATTGCAATAGACCTAGGATAAATTCCGAAGGGTGATCCCAAGATCGAATCGAATGATGTTATGCTTCGCGCAGACCACGCTTAGAGATTCATAACTTTTTGTAACAAGATTTTTGTTGTCTGTGCGATACAGATAATAAAAATTTGTATGGTTTATGTGAAGCATTAGATCATGCTTGGAGTCACCCCTCTAGGGTTACCCTAGCATGACTTTATATATTGAGGATGAAAATATAAATATGGTTTTATTACCTACGTCTCAGAGCATTCGTCTAATTTTTACTTTTTCAGTCAAAATTAATAAACTTTGACCATTAGTTAAATAAAATTCATATTAGATATTGACAAAAGAATAAGTTTATTAGATTTATCTTGTCAAATATTATTTATCTAATTAATATATCATATAAATTTTATTTAGTTATAAGTCAAATATTGATCTTGGTTTACTATAAAAAGATTAAAACTTGACAAATATCTTAAGTACCATAAGTTCATACTCCATAAAACCTAATCACTAATTCAATATATACTAGAGCAGGATACCTTGTCATTTCCTTTTATTTTTTAGCAAAAGTACTTCGATCAATAGCTATGCGGGTGAGCAATCTTCTCGTACTCTCAGACTCTATAGTCCTCAAAGTTTGAAGCTATAAAATTTAAAAAAAAACTGATATGGACGGCTCGACGAGGGAGGGTTTGCCATCACTCGATGAGCGAAGGACGGGTACGCGGCGTAGGCGTGCCCCAGCGTGGCAAAAGGATTTTGAGATGCATTAAACTTTATTTAATTATTGTAATTTAGATTTTCCTAGGTGAGCAATATTTATAAGCTCTTTCGAGGGTTTCTTTACGGTTCTTTACCTCGTCGCTTTTCTTTGAACCGTCAGGATAGAAAACGTAGTTTTAGGTATTGGGGTATCTCTTTAAATAGACATGTATTCTCTACAATTACGGAAGGAATACAATAAACCCTAAACCCTACTTTTCTCTCTCTCCCTAAACCCTACTTCTCCCTCTCTCTACTCGCACGGCTCAGCCGCTGCGCTCTTTCCCCCGTCTCTCCTTCTCTTCTGCCCTACGAGCTCGGAGGCGCTCTAAGCCTTCCCCTACCGTTACGTGATCGTATCATTGTGCTCTTGTTGATCTCTGTTATGGCGTCCAAAGATGTGCCCGAGGCAGTGCTACGGGAATTTCAAGAACAGTTTGATCGCCAACTTCTCTCCCAAACATCAGCCATGCAAACCCTAACCCAAACTGTGGAAAAGCTTCAGAGGCAGGTGGAGATGGTTTCCGCTCGCGTTGACAAGTCGCCTCCCAGTTCCTCGGGTCTCCGTCACCATGATCAAGGTTCCGTCATGTCCAAACTCAAGTTGGATATGCCTAAGACGGATGGGACAGATCCGATTGGGTGGTTGTTCAAAGCTCACGAGTACTTTACCTTCTACGGGGTGGCCGACGAATTACGTCTCCCGGCAGTTTCTCTGATGCTCGAAGGCGCCGCCTTGGATTGGTTTCGTTGGCGTCAGCGCAATCATTCCTTATCCTCTTGGCCGGATTTTGTTACGAAATTCAAGTTGAGGTTTGACCCTATCAATTATGTCGATTTTTTGGGGGTACTGTCAAAGGTTCAACAGACGGGGTCGGTTTTGGCTTATCAAGAGGCTTTCGAGAAGGTTCTGGTGAACGTTACCAACGTCGATGAGGCCCATCTTCAATCCTTATTCCATGCCGGGTTGAAGCCTCACTTACAACATGACGTGATGCTGCATAAGCCGGATTCTCTTTCCGCATCTTTCGCTCTGGCTCGGGAATTCGAGTTGAAACATCAAGCGTGGACCGCTACTTTGTCCCACCGTCCAGTCCCGTTTCGGGAGTCTGGCGCAGCCAAGCCATCTGGGGGTCCATCGCAGGCACCTCTCCTGCCCACGCCTGGTTCGAAGCCCGTACCCAACCCGCAGGTTTCCCCCAACCCTCCTATTCGACGACTCTCTTTTGTAGAAAAAAAAGAGCGGGACGCTAAAGGATTATGCTACAACTGTGATGAGAAATGGGTGAAAGGCCATCGTTGTGGTCGATTTTTATTATTGCTCGAGGATGATGAAGACACAGAGGACAGCGCCCCTTCCCCGGCCGATGACACGGTGATTTCGGCAGACGTGTCCTCCCTCCATAGCCTCGCCGGCGTGTCTGCTCCACGGTCCCTACGGTTGTCCGGCATGCTTTCGGAGGTCGTGGTGGATGTGTTGATTGACAGTGGGAGCACCCATAATTTTATCCAGCCTTCAATTGTGGAGAAGTTGCGCCTGTCCGTCCGGGAGGTTGCTCCATTCCGGGTGTACGTTGGCAACGGCGCGTCATTGGTGTGCACTCATCAGTGCTGTAACCTCGATATACTATTGCAGGGTTTCTGTTTTACAGTGGACGTTTTTGTGCTTCCCATTCACGGGCCGAATATGGTCTTGGGAGTTCAGTGGCTTCGTCTCCTTGGTAAGGTTACCCATGACTATGATAAATTGACTATGGATTTTGTTTGGCAGGGCAGGCCGGTTGCACTCCAGGGGGATAGTTTGTCGCTGCGGCCGTTATCGCTCCATAATTTCTACACCTTGAATGCTGGTCAGGGCATCGCTGAATGTTATGAAATCGTGGTGACGCCTCAGCCCGGGGACTCCTTGGAGCAGACCACTTGTTTTCCAGCGGATTTACCCCCGGAGATTTTGGCAGTGTTGCAGCAGCATGGGGCCGTGTTTGCCCAGCCCTCCGGGTTACCCCCACGACGCCTTCATGATCACCGGATATTTTTGCAGCAAGGTGTCAAACCCGTCAACGTGCGGCCGTATCGTTATCCCCAGTTCCAAAAGAACGAGATTGAGCGGTTGGTTCGCGAGATGCTCAATCAGGGTTTGATTCAACCCAGTCGTAGTCCGTTCTCATCTCCGGTTCTTTTGGTTAAAAAGAAGGATGGCACCTACCGCTTATGTGTGGACTACCGCGCCCTTAACGCCATCACCGTTCCAGATCACTTTCCAATCCCTACGGCCGACGAACTCTTTGATGAATTGGGGGCTGCCAGATATTTTACCAAGCTCGATTTGCGTTCGGGGTATCATCAGATACGTATGCATGACAGGGATATATACAAGACGGCTTTCCGTACTCATGAGGGCCATTATGAATTTCGGGTCATGCCATTTGGGTTAACGAACGCCCCGTCTACATTCCAAGCATGTATGAATCGTTTGTTTGCGGCATATCTTCGCCGTTTTGTCATCGTTTTTTTCGATGATATTTTGATATATAGTCCGTCCTTGCAAGACCATGCGCGTCATCTGGAGGTGGTACTTAATCTATTGGGTTCTCATGTGTTTTATGTCAAACTCTCGAAGTGCTCGTTTGGTACCACGTTGATTGAATATTTGGGCCATATTATTTGCAAAGGGCAGCTACAAGCGGACCGTTCTAAGATCACCGCCATGGTGGAGTGGCCATTGCCGACCAGTGTTCGTCAACTACGGGGTTTTTTGGGTCTGACCGGGTACTACCGGCGGTTTATTCATCATTACGCCCACCTGGCCGCCCCTCTCACAGATCTTTTGAAGAAGGACTCATTCACCTGGACACCCGCGGCGACCCAAGCCTTCCACGCTCTGAAGCAAGCTCTTTCCACCGCACCAATTCTCCGGCTACCTGATTTTTCTCTCCGTTTTGTGGTCGACACCGACGCATCTGCCGTGGGTATTGGTGCCGTATTACTCCAGGAAGAGAAGCCAATAGCTTATTTCAGCAAAAAACTCGGACCGCGGCGGTTGGCGGCTTCAACATACCACAAAGAATTATATGCAATTGTCGCGGCCGTCCACAAATGGCGACAATACCTGTTGGGCAGGGAGTTTTTGATACGAACGGACCAGCGGAGCTTGAAGGAGTTATTACAACAAGTGGTTCAAACACCGGACCAGCAGTTTTATGTCCGGAAGCTTTTGGGCTTCCGTTTTCAAATTGAATACAAGCCGGGCCGGACGAATACAGTGGCGGACGCATTATCGCGTCGGGGGGATGACGACACTACGGCGGCATTTCTGGCCCTCACCCAACCGCTCCCGGCAATCATGCGACGCATTCGCGAAGAAAACACAACCCAACAGGACTTGGCACGTATGCATGCACTACACAGGCAAGGAGTACTGCCGCCTCCTTTCACTGTGGTGGATGGCCTGCTTCTCTATAACACGAGACTCTGCATTGGTGAACACTCGACGTTACGACGGGAATTATTGAAGGAATACCATGATTCACACATCGGGGGTCACACTGGCATTCACCGCACCTTTCTGCGATTAGCACAGACATTCCACTGGTCACGCATGCGCGCCGATGTGCGGGATTACGTCCAGGGCTACCCCACTTGTCAGCGCGCTAAATACTCCACTCAACCTCCGGGGGGTCTCCTACAGGCACTGCCTATTCCTAATCAGGTTTGGGAGGATATTACCATGGACTTTGTTACGGGGCTGCCACTATCGCGGGGATCATCGGTGGTTTTGGTCGTGGTTGATCGGCTCACTAAGTATGCCCATTTCGGCCCATTACCGGGTGACTTCGACGCCCACCGCACTGCCTATTTATTCACTGATATGGTCATCAAGTTGCATGGGTTTCCCCGTTCTATAATTTCGGATCGTGATCGGATCTTCCTCAGTACTTTCTGGAAAGAGCTGCATTCCTTAAGTGGCACTACGTTGAAACACAGTACCGCGTTCCACCCGCAAACAGACGGCCAAACCGAGGTTCTCAACCGCACCTTGGAACAATATCTACGGATGTTTGTCCATGAGAGACCCAAGCGCTGGACAGTCCTTCTACCATGGGCGGAATACTCCATCAATACAAGTGTTCATAGCGGGCTACAGGTGACACCCTTCCAGGCTCTTTATGGCCGCCCGCCCCCGGATCTCGTGCCGTATACTCGAGGAGCGAGTAAAGTGCAGGCCGTTGATGATATCTTGGCAGAACGAGATGCTCTATTGCGACGTCTTCGGGCTAATTTACAGACAGCCCAGAACCGAATGAAGCTGCAGGCGGATCGTCAACGACGAGAGGTGGAGTTTCAGGTCGGCGACTTGGTTTTAATAAAGCTGCAACCCTATCGGCAGCATTCTGTTGCCCGACGGTCCTTCCAGAAGTTGTCCTTGCGCTTCTACGGACCATTTGAAGTTCTCGAGCGGGTGGGTCCGGTGGTTTATCACTTGAAATTACCAGCCAGTGCACGTATTCACCCGGTTTTCCATGTCTCGGTACTGCGCCCATTTCTTGGTCAAGCCAGCGTGTTTCCCCTACCCGACGACTTGGTGGATGGCCGGCCGCCGTCCCATCCAGTGCAGATTCACGCCACCCGTTGGGTGCTACGACGTGGGGTTCGGGAGGAACAATACTTGGTTTCGTGGAGCGATAGCACGTTGGATGATGCAACCTGGGAGCCGGCTGCCCTCATCCGGGAACATTATCCACATTTACACCTTGAGGACAAGGTGGTTTCTGAAGGAAGGGAGAGTGATACGGACGGCTCGACGAGGGAGGGTTTGCCATCACTCGATGAGTGAAGGACGGGTACGCGGCGTAGGCGTGCCCCAGCGTGGCAAAAGGATTTTGAGATGCATTAAACTTTATTTAATTATTGTAATTTAGATTTTCCTAGGTGAGCAATATTTATAAGCTCATTCGAGGGTTTCTTTACGGTTCTTTACCTCGTCGCTTTTCTTTGAACCGTCAGGATAGAAAACGTAGTTTTAGGTATTGGGGTATCTCTTTAAATAGACATGTATTCTCTACAATTACGGAAGGAATACAATAAACCCTAAACCCTACTTTTCTCTCTCTCCCTAAACCCTACTTCTCCCTCTCTCTACTCGCACGGCTCAGCCGCTGCGCTCTTTCCCCCGTCTCTCCTTCTCTTCTGCCCTACGAGCTCGGAGGCGCTCTAAGCCTTCCCCTACCGTTACGGGATCGTATCAAAAACTCAAAATTTGTATTTTATAACAGAATACGAATACGAACCGAATATTCGAATTTAATATCAAATCGAATACGAATAGTAATAGTTATTCAAATATAAAACAAATATGAATATGAGTAATGGTATCATTTTTCAAATGCGAATAAAATTTTATAATATTCGATTCGATTAGTTCATTTTACAACCTTATTCACATTTCACAGGACATGGTTGTAGATGATCAAGCATCATGCCAACTTTTTTAATTTTTTTTAAAATATATATAAATCAAAATAACTTAAAACATTAATTAATCATTTCATTAACATTAAAATTATAATGAATTAATTAAATTAGCATTTCACTAATTTACACTTTTTAAAAAAATAATTAACTAAAAACAAAAAAACCTTAAATTGAATACAAAAAAACTAAAAAAAAAAAGTAAAATAAAAAAGTAAACTTATAAAAGAAGAAAAAAAAGATAGAAGAGTAAGAAGATGCGGGACGAAAAGAAAAAAGAGAAAAAAAGAAGAAGAAGAAATTAAAGAATAAAGAAGAACGACGGAACGAACAAAAAAAGGAAAAAACGATCGTGAAGGCCGTGATGAGCATCACCATTATCACGGTCACGCCATAAGGGGCGGTATTCCACGGCTATCACTTGCCTAGGTGGCGCCACGTGTTCATTAGGGCTCGCCACTCCACCCCCACACCAATTCGTCTTAAGGAGATTTTTGCTAAGGAAAACCTTCTGTTTTGGCAAATCATGGTGTGCAACGATATAAGTAAGATTTGACTGAGTAAAAAATTTTGATCTTATGTCATGATGTCATTTCTCGATCTCAAGACCGGTGATAGCCTCGATATATGTCTTTGGCTTATTTCAACTTTAATATACTTCCTCCATCTTACAAAGTTCTTGTTATGATTTTTAGGAGATTTGAAAAAAGACAATAGAAACATCCAATTGACATAACGACCAGCTATGATAAATGGCTAAGGATAAGACAATTTGAATAGTCTGCTGATTTACAACATGACTAAAGCTAAGGTTTCAGAATAATCCAACCAATACTCTTGAGTATACCCTTTGGCAACGAATTGTGCCTTGTACTTGAAGATAAAGCCATCAGTATTTTTCTTGATTTATAAACCCACTTACAACCAATAGAAATCCAATCTGAGGGTGTTGGAAAAAGTACCTATGTATTCTGATTTATCAAGGGAGATAATTTTTCATCCATAGCCTGATACCAATAGCATTTTTTTGTTGCATCTTTGAATGTATCATGCTCAAGGGTAGGAGGATTAGAGGAGAAAACAGATGTAGCATAGAGTTCGAGTTTAAAAATTCCACTACATGTGCGAGTTTGCATGTGATGCCGCGGTGGAGGTGGTGGAAGGGTAGGGATTGGATACGATTTTGGAGTACAACGGGGTGTAGGAAGGGTTCCAAATTATATTGGAGTATCAGGTAAGATATTTAATATAAGTGGTTTCAGCTTTAAGTTGAGGAATTAGAGGTGACCGAGGTGGGTTTTGGGGTAGGATTAGGACATGGAGGGAGAATCGGGGTGGTGGGCATTGTTTAATGAAAAGTTTACTCCATATAGCACTAAGAGATAGTGCATTTCCATGAAAACGGCTAAACACGTTTTATTCCATTGATGGCACATAATTCAATCAATCGGTTCCGAATGACCAATTGCAAGAATCCAGTTCTACGTGATCATATGGAGCATGTTATTTCAAACTGTAATTTTGTGCGAGATGAAATCATGATATGCACCAAGACAACTCATCATGCTCCCTCTTCTAAGGCAGCTACCAGACACTCATGAAATCACTTCTGCCCGCTCCACTCCAGTACTTGTGTTCCAATTTGTCCCTCTTTACCGTTGTTTAGCTTGCGGGAAAGATATTATAATCTATTTCCTTATTCTATTGTTACTTTAATTGTTATTTTATTATGAGTATAAGCCTCTTTGTAATCCTTATATATAGGGATTGGAACTTTCATTATTCAATAAGAATAATAATTATCAAGTTCTATCACAATTAGAAGTTTTTTTGGATGAAAAACATATTTTATATTTATTCTCTAACCTAAAAATATAAGCGAGGCAAACCATCAAAATTATACTCCTCTCGTTTCAATATATTTTTCAGTTTGACTTTTTAATCAAACTGAATGAACTTTGAGTATCAATTAAATAAAAATTATGATGTCTATTAGTACAAAATACTCCGTAAAAAATGTGACGTCTGCAACACATGAAATTTATGATGTCTATTTCTCCATTCGTCCCAGTGTATTTGTCCACTTTTGACTTTTCCCAAGCAAAATTAATAAACTTTGACCCTAAATTAAATAAAAATGTTACGGAGTATTAGATATTGATATAAAAATAGTTTTATTAGATTTATTATATAAAATATTTTCAAAATAATACTTTATCGAATTAATATATAATATATATTTTAATTAATTATAGGTCAAAATTAAAAATAATTTACTCTAAAATTTAAAACTAGACAAATACTTCGAGACGGGGATGTAATGTCTACAACACAGGAAACTCTTGGCATGGACCCCAACTCTAGGTTGCAAAGTGAACTCGTGGATATTTAAAATCCACATGGACCCCGGGCAATGTTGGCTACATAGGTTCCGTTTCGTTCAACTTATTTTTTCTGATCTGATCTGATTTCAATAAGTTCTGATATGATCTGATCTGATTTCAATAAGTTCTGATCTGATCTGATTAATTATGATTTGATTTAAAATTAAAAGCAATAATTTGATTTGACTTTATAATAACGTTTGAAAATTGTAATGATAATTCATATTATAATATAATCAATATTTTTATTTAATGATTATTTTTTAATAAAATAAAATTAGTTAATTCATATATTAGAATAATCATTCATATTATAATGTAATAATATTTTTTATTTTATAATTATTTTTTTGTGAAATTAGAATATTAATTTAATATTTTAATAATTACTTCATATATACATTAGAATAAATATTTAATTTATATATACATTAAAAAGTAATTAAATTTAGATAATCAATATATAGAAAAGATAGTATTTTTATTAAAATATCTCATCCTTATAAATGATCAAAACTTTAGAAACTCAAATTACAAGTAGTAATAAAAATATATTTTAAAAGTAGAATTAGATTGACATTGTCAATATATTTTAGAACTAGTTTTTCCGACGTCTAATAATTAAGGATTACTTTCTCAGTTTTCTATTTAACATGTTTCTAAAGTTTATTCTTTTTCATTTTTAAGAACAACAACAACAACAACAAGAATAATAATAATAATAATAATAATAATAATAATGATAATAATAATAATAATAATAATTCTTGATGGGATCTGATTTTAATAAGTTTTGATCTGATTGGATCTGATCAGATCTTATCTGATCTGATTTTAATAAGAATAAGAAAAAATAAGAAAAAATAAGTTGAATGAAACGGGGCCTTAGCTGTGGTGCCACTTGAAGATTCCACTTGCCAGTTGCCATGGTTTATCATACGGAGTATTAGAAATCCTTCCTCTATATAAAAATTTAAACTTCTACTTGTATCCCATATTTGTATCTCATTTTGTATTCAAGACTTTGCCCTGACATTAAATGTAAGTGCAAAAAAGGTATTATGCTAATGTTGCACTTACATTTTATGTCAAGGTAAACTTTTAGAGTATAAAATGAAATACAAAGTGGATGGGGTCAGGATAGCATGCTCCATTAAAAATTATTGGGGTATTCGATCGAGTCATTTATTTGTATGATGATGTTTTAGCACTCATGAAGGGGTACAGTAAGTCAAAATCTTGACAGTCACAAATATAAAGTTTATAAGAGCTAGCATCTCCTACCCATAGTGTATAAGGTAAAAATAACACTATATGCAATATACTATTCATTTTTTGATACTCCAATGAATAGTGTAAACCAAAAGTTAAAAAACACTATAGTGGAAAAAACAATTCCCAACTTGTATATATACAAGATGGTGCAAACCAAATGCTAAAATAATTGTTTCAATATTTAGTTTTAAATGATACTAAAAATATTATTAATAGATTGGTTACATTATGCACATCATAAATGTGATTATAATTAAACCAAAAATTAAACATACAAATACCTTAAAATAATAAAATATTATAAAAATGTATTATATAGAAGATATGGTTGGAGTGCGTATAAAAAAGTGAATGTGTAAAACACTGTTGATAGTGTAAACTAAATTTTACACTATCATTTTTTCCACTATGGGTTGGAGATGCTCTAACCCAAGTAATAATGAAGTACTCGACTATTACAAAAAGGATGTAATAGAATATAAAAGTCACTCCAAGGCCTACAACCACATATTTGAGTTTTTTGTTGAGTTGATTTCTTAACATGGTATCGAAGTCTTTTTAACCTAGAGTTCATGCATTTGACACTCAACGACACCCAATTTTAAACAAATAAGGCTTCACCAAAAGGCTCGAAGCAACAATAACTGCAAGTGAGAGGCGTATTAGAAGGTAAAAACCATTCTTGGGCCAAAAACCACAAACACGAGCTTTCGGTTGACTGGTTTATCGTTAATAGCATTATATTGCAATGATTATCTAACGTTAGAATAGCTACCTTAGGTTATGGGGCAGGTCCACTCTGAATCATTACTACTTGTACACAAGGGAAAGTTCTGCATGGAACTTTGGACTATTGCAACTTGAATGAACAAGTGGGTCTTGTTAGACGCGTTTTGATGACTATTGCATATTTGCATGGTCAAATCATTGGCACTAATGCGGGGTGGGGTGTGTGGACCACGGCTTGTTGAATGTGTTTATGTAAATAGATTAATTTCTATAATTAATTTACTCCCTTCGAAGTAAACGTATATTCAATTATAAAGGAGGAATTTACGTAAATAGTACTAAAATATAATGACTTTTCTTAAATAGCACTACATGTGTTTTTCTTCCCAATGTAACACTTTTAGTCATTATGCATTAGTCATTATTCAAACAAATATTTGTCATCATTGGACATTATTAAGTGCTATTTAGGGAATAAATCAGTTTAAGTGCTATCTAAGAAAATGACTTAAATTTTAGTGCTATTTAATGCAAATATTTCATTATAAAGTGAGCGCTCAATGATGTGTACAACATGGAAACTTAGAGCAGTGGCAATACTCCTAACGCCCAGCAGCGTTAGGAAGCATTTGAAGCCTGGGGGGCGTTAAACACCGCCCCCCTCCTCCGTTATACCTCCGTGAAAATTTCTGCGTCATATGTTTGATGCAATTTGAAGGCATCAAAATGCCCTCTTTTTCTTCCCCCCCCCCCCCTTTTATCCTCCTTTCTTCTCTATAAATTAAATTAAATTTAACACAAATACAAATTTCTCTCTATCTATCATCTTTTTTTAAAAAATTATTATTCAAGTATTTTTTTATTTTGTCATGAATATAATTTTTTTATTTAATGAATGTAATTTTTTTATTTAATGAATGTAGTTTTTTATAATGAATGTAATTTTTTTATTTAATGAATTTAATTTTTTTTATTTAATGAATTTAATTTTTTTATTTAATGAATGTAATTTTTTATAATGAATGTATTTTTTAACGAACTATTATCGTTTCAATTCTTTTAAATAATTAAATAATTAAAGTTTATTAATTTAATTTTAGAAGATGTGTATTTAAAATGTAAAAAATGAAAGTTTGAAGCCCCAGTTTGAAGCCCTGGAGCTTCAAACTCATTTCTACTGAAACTGTAGTGAGGTAAGTTAAAGCTGACGTGGCAGAGAGAGAAGGTTTGAAGCCCCGGGGCTTCATGGGTATTTCCAGTGCCCTTAGGATCGCATGTCATTAAATACTCTCTCCGTCCCTAAATATTTGCCACACTTGTATCCCGAGGCAAAATATCAAGTTTTTTCAATTCATTTTATTTACATATTGGTATAGAAATAAAAAATAAAATTTACATATCAAAAAACTACATGAAAAGTTCTTCAAAATAAGAGGTGTCATGAATATTTTATTTTATCAAAAACATAGAAATAAACAAAAATTCCCGCGACTGCTAAAAAAGCAAACGTTGCAAATAATTTGGGACGGAGGGAGTATTTGCATATGGGGGTATTAGGCCATCTCCAATGGGATGTTCAAAAGAGATGCTAGGAGGAGAGAGATTGAGATGTTGATGGATGCTACTATTGTAGATGGATGCCCAATAAAGATGCTCAAAGAGAAAAATGAAAGGAAGATGCTTGGCCTAGCACCCGATGCTTGAGGATGGAAGAATTGAGGCATTTGTTTTTTAAGTATTGTGGTCCAATATATATGTGCCATGTGTCAATTTATTATTTTTTCAATTTAAAAGTTTGCATTTGTAGTTTTTATGAAGGCTCAAAAGTTTTTTTTATTAAATTAGATTTGGCAACTTCAAAAAATTAGATATTGCAATGTTCTAGAATTCAANATAAAATATAAATATATTTATATGGACCCACTGCATTCATTGAATAAAATGAGGCATCCATATGAGATGCCACTATTGAATGGTTTAGATGTTGAGAAGGGTGCTCAATTGGCATTTTAAAAATAGACTCTACACTTCAACATCTAGTGAGGGATGCTACCATTGTGGATGCCTTTATTATACTCCGTAATACAAATGGGTACAAAGACCAAGGAGCTTAAGAAGGAAGTAGCATAACCACATGTTGCCAAAATGCAGAACACGAATAACGAAGTTCTACAAATATTAGTATTTAAATACTCCCTTCCTCAAAAAATTATCTTCCTATTCACTATTTACTTTATTCACTTTGTTGGTCTATTTTTGTTACCCATTTGATAAAATAATATAGTCATGTCACATCTAATTT